ATAAAATAAAATAAAATAAAATAATAAAATAAAATAAAATAAAATAAAATAAAATAAAATAAAATAAAATAAAATAAAATAAATAAAATAAAATAAAATAAAATAAAATAAAATAAAATACATAGCAGCGTTTTCCCTTTAATTCCCTCATAGCTGCAAAGGACTTATTCCCGCTGAGGCTTTGCAAAGGAGGAGGACATGCTAGAATGGCACTTCAACTGATAGAGCATCAGAGAGAACTGGGCCTTTATTCTGGTAATAACATGGGCATTTTGGTAGCCCTTGGACGAATGATTTCCAAGCATCAAAATTACTGCTAGGCTTCCAGGCAGGAAATGCTCTAGTACAGTGTTTCTCAAATTTGGCAACTTTAAATTGTGTGGACTTCAACTCCCAGCATTCCCCAGCCAGCATGCAGCAAAATTTTTGCTAAGAACCAAAAAGACCTTGGCTTGGAATTCTAGACATAATATCTGTATTGATATGTATCCATACTAATAAAGAGAAATTACTTATGAGAACTTGGTGTACTGCCAATCATATTTTATTTGATTAGAGTTCAGGATGAAAGCTCACTTCATGCCTGAACAAACATGATAAGGAGAGGCATATATTCTGGTAACTGAAAGATCAAAGGTATCACTCCTGTGGAAATGCTTACAATCATCTTATTGCTTAGTTCCAAAAGGAATCACCAGAATTTAAGTCATATGTGTAGTTCCAACCAGGGGTGGGATTCAAATTTTTAACAACCGGTTCTGTGGGCGTGGCTTAGTTGGTGGGCATGGCTTGGTGGTCATGTTATTGGCTGGGTGTGGCCAACTCAATATCACTCACATCAAGGCATGCATCTCCTCGCCTGGCCTCTCATGACTGTGGGGATGCTGCAACATCATAAGTGTGAAAAACGGTCATAAGTCACTTTTTTCAGTGCCATTGTAACTTTGAATGGTCACTCCACACAAGCAAAGTACCAGCAAAGGAGGGGAAAAAAACTCCAGAGAAGTTCCTGAGACAGCCAAGAATGTAATAAGGGTTAACGGAGAGGCAGTTTCTGTAAGCAACACCAGAATGTTTCCTTCCTGCCTTCCTTCCAGGATTAGGCCAGTAATTTCTTCTAACAACCGGTTCTTCGAACTGCTTAAAATGTTAACAACTGGTTCTAGCGAATAGGTGCGAACTGGTAGAATTCCACCCCTGGTTCCAACTCCGGCCTTCTGAGAGCTCAAATACCTTAAATATGGCACAAATGAAAATTTGTTTATTTTAAACAAAGGTGCATTTGAATATATAATCCCAGCCTTTTATAGGAAGCCCAGAGCAAGCATGCAGTCAGAATGAACATGCAACTGGGAAGCAGGATTCCCAATGCAGGCCTTCCTCCATTCTTCCATCCATTGAATGGGCTACACCAGCAGTGGAAATCTGGCTTCTGGCCTGTTGGGACCAGCAGTGCCTCTATCTCCAGCTGAAAACTTTCCTTTGTCTCCCCATCAGGAGCAATTCTCTTTTACAAAGGCACCAATAGAAGTTGTTTTTTTTAATTTATTACTTAAAAGCCTCACTGGTACACTGTGAAGCATTCCTAAATGATGGGAACATAGGTGGCATGGAGAAAATCTAGGTTTTTCCTTTTTTAAGAATTGATTTCAACCAGCTATCTTTCACCTCCCTGCCCCCCCCATGAGTAATTTTTGGGGGAAAGAGGGGGAAATTAAGCAAATGGAAGGATTTCCCAAGTTGTTTATCACTGCCTTCTTCTGTTGCTTGCTCACAATGAACCTGTTAAACTGCTTATTTATTTTATTAGATTTATTATCTGATTATCTCCCTCCTGTGACTTATTCCTGTTGTGATCGCAGTTGTGGAAAGAGATTACCCGTTGACTCAATTCCATTACCTATTGCTAAGGAGTTTCCAACTCACCTGGACATGGTACTGAGATGTTTCGTGCATGATGACGTTTGAGTTGGAGTATTTCTTTCTTTGTTCTGTGGGAGAAAAAAAAATGTAGGATAATAATTGCTCCAAAGTTGGCTAGCTTTTTTAGACTACATTCAAAAAATGTATTTTTTTTCTTTCAGGATAGCTTATTTATTATTGATAGTTTTATTTAATTGGTTTATAGAAGGTTTTACACACCATTCTACTGGAATAACAGCAACATTCTAACTTGCACAGGTATTATTTATTTAAGTAAGTTTCAAAGTAGGCATTTTCTTGGCAAACACACAGTCCAATTTCTTCATTATCCAGAGAAAGAGAGGCCATCACTCAGTGTCAAAGACAGTCTTTCCTCCTGATACAGTTTTCCCATAATTAGTGCTCACTAGATATGGTTAGGATGTAACTCCTACATCCCTGTTCTGACCAAGGCTTCCAAACTGTAATTAAGCACCCACATCTTTTAAAAACAAGACTTATTTTATTGTAACGCTGGGAATTGTTTTCATTCTCAGCCTGAATTAATCTCAAACAGTCCCACGAAATAAGCACACACCTTTCAGTTTTGTGAAGTGCTGCCAAAAACAGAAGTATCAAATGAACTGGAAAAGAAACCACCGGAGTACAAAAAAAACGCCAACCGAACTACAAAGAGCTTCCAGAATGACTCTGAACCGACCGAACTACGTTGCTTCCTGCAAAGGTATCATCATCTTGGCCTGACTTTTATACCCTATGGGAGGGGCAATCACCTCCCAGCCTTACTCCTGAGTTGCTCCTTTTGTTTCAGCTGGTCTCGCCTTCTAGCAGCTCTGCGCACATGCGCATTGGGAACAGGCTCCCCTGGGTCCTCTGCCTCGCTGTTGCCAGACTCCAAAGGCTCCGAAAGCAGCACCTCACTCCCAGATAGTCCTAGCCCCATCTCTGCATTGGACGCAGGACCCTCATCCGAGTCCTCTCCAGATTCCCTGACTGGTCCCCGTTCTTCCCCACTGTCTGATTCCGCTGCTGTCTGCACCGGCTGCCAGTGAATTACAACAATCCCCTCCTTCAAAAGATAACCATCACACTTTAATAGCAGACATTCAGTATGGGAATATTGGCTGGGGAATTCTAATAATTGACATTCAAAGATCAGAGACTAATGAATTTTAAAAAGTTCTATATGAGTTTTTTGGAGATGAAATGAGAGGGGAGAGGAGAGGAGAGGAGAGGAGAGGAGAGGAGAGGAGAGGAGAGGAGAGGAAATTACGTATCTGGAAGAAAAAGTAAGCTTTGATTTCAGGTCAAAAAGATTCTACTGGCTAATGCTGAATATCAAAAAAAGATCAACCATCCACAACTGTTCATTTATTTATTGTTTAAAAATTGCCCTTCCGTCATAAGGAATCTCAGAACATTATACATAATGCAAAAACCATTTGAATATTATATAACAATAAAATTACAAATTATATAGCATTAAACACATTTTCCATCAATTAATCAACCAACCAACCAACCAGTTAATTTTAAAAAAAAGTTTTTTAAATACCTGGAAAAAAGAAACATTGTCATTTAGTGTCATATAAAAGCAAAGTCGGTTTTCATCCCATCTTTTTAGAAACAGCATTTAAAAGTTGGGGCAACATCACAAAGATTTGGAATTGCATTATGTACAGTACTTGACAGTGATGCTTTTGGAAATAGGGCTTTCTTTGAAAAACTAATGAACAAGTAGGATTATATGACAGGCATTTTTTTTAATATTTCAGCTCCAGTCCATTTTAGGACTTTACAAGTTGAATTAGAAAGATTCTGTTAATGTAGCTTCATATTAAGAATAGAATTAGTTCATCTGATCAAGTTTCTGGTCTGCTCTACTTGGGAAGGCTGACATCAATATTGCAAATCTGCCATCTCTTTTATAGCCCGAGAAATTAAGACGGTTCCTTTCGGAGTTTCTTTCTTTACTCATTATGCAACTATGTGCTATGCCCTCTCTTATCTGATTGTTCCCTAGGCAGCATCTTTCCCCTACACACACACACACACATGGTCATTTCCACATACCATTGCAATTCTTCACTTCTAGTGATATGAAAATTATACTTCTATTGATGCAGCCTAAAAAACAGCAATCACTGTTTTTTTGTAGTCACATTTTAAAAAAGGGAATGGACAACCATTTCTCTGAAAGGGTGTAGGGCAGTGGTGGCTAACCTTTTTTGGCTGCCGTGCCGATAATTGCGTGCGTGCTCACGCTTGTGTGCCAGCACCCAGAAGGCAATGCGTGCTGGCCCCCCCACGCTGCCTGCACATGCACGCGCAACCCCCTGCGCGTGCCACACATCTCTGCGCATGTGTGCACGATCCTTCCACACGCATGCCATGTCTGCGCATGCACACCAATCCCCACATGCACTGTGCATCTCTGTGCATGTACGTGCATCTCCCGCACACCCAGTGCATGCGTGCCAGATACCCAACAATCAGCTGTCGGGCAGCGGTGTGCACGCATGCGCAGTGGGGCTCTTCCGTGCGAGCTCTCATGTGTTGGCAGAAGTGGCTTCCGGCATGCGTGCCATAGGTTTGCCAACACGGGTATAGGGTCTCCTGCTTGAGCAGCGGGTTGGACTAGAAGACCTCCAAGGTTCCTTCCAGCCCTATTCTGTTACTCTACTGACTCATTCTCAGTTTTTAATCACTACTACTCCAAAATCTTTTTTCATTACTACAATTAGCATGTCAGGTGTATAATTCTGTAATTTATATTTGTTTTGTAAATAAAGAACTTTGCATTTGCCTTTGTTGGATGTCATTCCACAACTTTTGCAGAAAAGACCCTAGATGTGAAAAGGTTTGCTTAAGAAATAACTTGCAGCTTCCTGCTAAAAAATAATCTGGTTTACTGCCTCCCTTGGGTCATTTCCACACTGTTTTTATTTTTTAGTTTCAAAAGGAGTCTGACCAAATATTGCTTTCACTGCTGTTGATTTGAATATTGAGGCCCAATACTATTTACTTCCACCTAATCAATACCAGAGTGCAAAAACCTGGCACTGAAGGATTCCCTGTCTCTATTTTAAGTTCATGTTGTGTTAATTTTTCTGCTCGATAATTTGAGCAGCTGAGACAAAGAAAAGCTGCCAAGCCACCAAGTTCTATCCCTCGTATTTATTATATATGCATAAATAGAAGATAGAATACTTTATTGGCCAAGTGTGATTAGATCCACAAGGAATTTGTCTCCTGTGCAGAAGGTCTCAATGTACATGCAAAAGAGCAAAATAATCATAATCATAATAACAAATTAATAATAATCATAATAATGATATCAATAAGAGAAGGTGGTGGAACAGATGAGAAGATAATAGTAATATAGCCGTACTACATGAGTAAATATACCTATACATAAGATAGTACTATGGGAATTAGGTGTTCTGCAGAGTGATGTCACAAGGGAAAAAACTCTGTGTCAAGTAGGCATGCAATGCCCTGTAGCGGTTTCCTGAGGAAGGGGTTGAAACAGTTTATGTCCAGGATGCGAGGGATCTATAGCTATTTTAATATAGGTACTAGAAAGATCTGTGAAGTACAATGATTGGACCATAATAGAAGGAAAAAAAGAGCAGGGGATATTCTCATTCTTTCTTAGGATTTCTACTGTATTTTCCAACAAAGATGAGGGGGGGGGGGAAGGAATATCAAATGTTTCTCTTAAAGTTCTGAAGAGCTTTCTGCTTTCTTGCTTTCTCCAAAATACATCATAAATGGAAGCTCCAGGGGGAAAACTGAGCCTTGGTGGCGCAGTGGTTAGAGTGGTGTATGGCAGGCCACTTCTGCTGACTATCGGCTACCTGCAAATTGGCAGTTCAAATCCCACCAGGCTCAAGATTGACTCAGCCTTCCATCCTTCTGAGGTGGGTAATATGAGGATCCAGATTGTTGAGGGCAATATGCTGACTCTGTAAAACCACTTAGAGAGGACTGTAAAGCACTGTAAAGCGGTATATAAGTCTAAGTGCTATTGCTATGTTCCTGGGCATCCTTCTTGCCAGGTGGCCTGGGACACCCTTGTCCTGGCAAACTTGAAAAGAGATTCATAGTTGTCTGCATGAGAAATCTACTTGACAATGATTATGCAAACTTGCAAATAAGATGTTGTTTAGTTGGCTGTGTTGAATAAGATACATCCAGATGACTGGAGAGATTTACATTATTTTCTTATCCAGTTACATCTGGCTGACCTAGCCATCAGTAAACTAGAACTAATTTACAATAATTTAATGATAGTATGTATGAATTAATTTGATGGGTTATCATAATAGAAAACATTTTAATATGTATTTTTAAAGTTTAAAAACATCCTGTGCTCTGTACAACCGAAACACAAAATTCAACTAAAAAAAGATAAAATGCACAAGCAAGAATAAATGATTGCTAGGAGACCAAAGGCAAACATATTATAAAAGAACCCCAGGGAAAGAATGTTACTGACATAAATAGGAAAGTTATGTACTTCATAACATGACAGCCAGAGTGTCAAGGGAGTAAAAAGCTGAGATATTAGCACAACATAAGACAAACAAAAAGAATATTTATACTCAGCAATTCTTTCTGGACAGAATGATGTTTAAAAGAAATATTCTGGTTTTACAGAACAACCAAATGGTTTAATGAAAGAGTTTAAGTCAGGGTGGCTGGATTTAGCCAATTTAGTTGCCCAAAATCTTGACCTGAGCCAGCCAGGTGAAGATCCAAAGAACTATATACTAGCTAACTATAAACTTGCAAGACCTGAGGTAACATTCTGAATATAAGTATAGGATTATGAAAGTTAAAGTCTTTGCCCTTCAAATGAAAATATCTTAAAAAATCTTATGTGGCCTAAGATCCCTCATATTATTTATAAAGAAGTCTTTGAATTCCAAACTCTTAATTAAAGTTTAATATTCATTCAATGAATCTGATATTGAAATGTTTCTTTTTCAATATTTATTATTGAAAAAATAAAAATAAAGACATAACTCACACAAAATGGCAAGCTGGAGAAATCCGAACTTCA